GCCTGTAGCATCGTTCCCAGAATCACTGCCGACCAAATCGTAATTCTACGCGCTCGCGCTCTACCGACGGACAACAACGCTTGAGCGTCCATACCCCGGCGTCCGTGGCGAGGTCTTGTAGCCAGGTGTTCGCCAGTTGGCCTGGCTGTCCGGCCGATCGGCTGGCGTGCCGGATGGCGTCTGCTCCTGGTTCTTCCTCGTCTGCTTGCTGTCCGGCGACGGATGCTGACAGCGACACCTGGCGTCGATGCAGCCCCTGCAGAAAGCAGGAAGGTAGGTGTGCAAAAACTACGTGGTGGCGAAGTGCACGTGCAGACATAGCAGGTTTAGTACTGATGTTACAGGGTGTACGGTGAATGGTAGGAACAGGGCCAGGGCAAGAGATCAAGGGACAGAAGTAGAGGATACCCTGAAAGGAATAGAGTGTGAGAGAAGGTCTGAGAGAGATGGACAGTGAGAGAGCGCGAGAAGAGAGAGGGAGAAAGAGGGAGGGGAAAAGAGAGAGAAAGAGAGAGATAAAGAGGGAGAGAGGGAGAGAGGGAGAGAGAGAGAGAGAGGAGGCGAGAGGGAGCGAAAATAAAGCAAGAAGAATATATAGGCGAGAGAAGAGTAATGTATATTACCTGCGTGGCATTCCATCGTGTAGTCCGGATATCACTACCACTTTCACTGTAGCAGATGTTCTCAGTAGATCCACCATCTGATCGTGCGACATAGTTGCGACAGCAACCTTACAGATCTGCCGAAAAAAAAGAGACCAAACGATGACGTGCTATGCAAAAGTCACTAACATCATCTACTTGATAGGATACTCAAAATACCTTGGTCAAGCTTTACTTACAGGAATGCTACAGTTACAACTATTCGCGACCATACTTTTACCGTTTCTGACAACGGGTCATGGAATCAGAGAAACGACACGACAGCATGATGTGAGGGTCGCGGGATCAGAGAAATGACATGAGAGCATGATGTGAAGTAAAATTTTGCCTAAAACCTTGAGAGTATCCTTAACGTCTGCAAAGGGGAGAGTAGGGGGTGGGGGTGGTGGTTGCCAAGACCTGATAGTTAGAAGCATTACTAGTTACCTGCACTTGCCACACTAATGCTCCCTTTACAAAGGCGTCGGTGATGAGCTTTGGCCGAGGCTTATCCTTGCGTTTAGTACTGAGAGAAAACTTGCCTGAAAAAGATTGAATCAGGTTAGCATATTCAAAGCATGGACTTCTATACAAATTACATGCACACCGATCGATTACATATTGTAAGTACTGAACTATTCAAGTTGCGGGATTAGAATATAAGATTACTGGTATGATGACAATGTATTCGTATGTAATGGTAAATATATTCATCAAATATATATTTACTGAATTTGGTGGGGCCAGAATCAAGTGATGTCGTAGTAACATAGTTGGTTGCTAGGTCTTTCAAGTATTCCTGCTTCGTTCGGGTTGCCATGGCAATGAACTTTTCTGACCGGTGAGCAGCATTTTCACCATTTATCGCTGAAACAAAACATTATTGTTGTAGTTATTATAGTCTAAAGACCATCTGAAAAAGAGTGCATTGCGATTGCTATAGCTATAAATAGTATTATACATGCAGAGGTATACAGTTTTAGATATATCGTATATCGGTACATGTATAGTATATTATCTATCCATCAGTTGAAATATACGACAATGTTTGGATCATGGTGAAGTAACTAAAAACTTATCTATACAAAGTCAGTTGTACCTTTGGCTATTATAAACTCAGCACAGTCCTTTGACTTGGAAGAGAAGTAACTAAAAACATATCTATACAAAGTCAGTTGTTCCTTTGGCTATTATAAACTCAG